AACCACCTGATCAGGCCAACAGATGTCTACCACAAAACAGCCAATTCTCAGTGGCAGGCACTGCAGATCACTGTTCAGGAGTGCATCCAAGCGGTCAGTGGAAAACCCCCAAGAGGAGGTGATTCTGCGGAGCTGGGGTCAGCCCAGGCAAAGCCCCCACTGAAGCTAATAGATGCACTTCAGCTAAACACGACGGGTCAGGAAGGCCTCTGTGTTTGGGCGAATGGAGATGTCCTCTCCACTCAGTTCTCCTCAGCCACGGAAGTTAACTGTATCCGCATAGAAATGCAAAATGAAGCTGTAGACGCATACAGTGCATCTGGCAGGATAAAGACTTAGGAGTAATTGGCTGGGGAAACACAGAACAACTGGTCCTTGTTCCTGTATTTTTTACTTTTTAAAACCAAAGCGGTTGCCGTTAGACTTTATTTCTCTTTCTGCCATCTCCCAGCGTTTTAGAGACTGGTCAAATGATGTCAACTAATTTGGTTTCATTACTATGAATCAAAAATGTTCCATATACTTTGTCAAACAGTCACACAATAACAGTCACATTGACTGCTACTCTTCTTTTTTCTTAAAAAAGAGAAATGAAATATTCGAAGTTTGTAGTCTAGTTTTCCAGAGATAGCAAAAAAGATCCAAAATATACGAGTTGTTCATCTTTAATGTTCATCCTCTATTCACAAAGTTTGGGGACAGATGATTTGAGAGTCTGGTTTAGAAGCCTGTTATAATTGTAAGTAGTTGAAATTTATGTACTGAAACCTTTTTATACTCAGACATAGTTCAGGAATAGCCTAAGATGTTTGGTCTCCCAAAATCAAGGTACAGGATACTCAAGCCAACCATCTTAGATAACCAAGGAAATCCTGAGATCCGTCTTTTCCTCCCTCTGGAGGGAAGATACAAACCGTTGACACGCCATATCACACAGAGATACCCTGTGCATTTTCACATTTCAGTTGCATAATGCAAACAAAGAAAAGCATAAGATGATAAATTGTCTGGCAGATGGTAAAGCAGGGGGAATAAACCTCTACCCACAAGGTTCGAGAGGCAAGAAGTGCACAAGCTAATTAAAAACCGCTCAGCTTACAGAGTAGGAACCACAGTAATTTCCTTTTTTCAGAAGTTTCTTCTTTTAAATTCAGACTGCTTTGGGGCATTTAAAAAAGGAATTCTCAAGCTTTACTGCCTTCCAAGCAATCATGTTGCATTTGTCTTCGTCTTCTCCTTTGTGTTTCCTATTTTTCATGTAATCTTTTATTCCAGCCTATAGACCATAAAAATGTCCCTATTTTGGACAAAATGGATGGGTTTGGGCGTGTTTGTTTGTTCTCTAAAGTACTGATGTCATTTTTTTCTTTCTTTTTACAAACAGATGAAATGTTTGGTTTTTTTTAGTTTCTTTGGCAAGTTCAGATTTAGCAAATATCTAAACTTGTGATTTTTAAACTGTGTATTGAGTATTCAAGTGTTTTGAGTGTTCAAGATTTTAAAGTTCCTGGCTGTGTTGCTCCTGGCCACAGCAACAGGACACCACATCAGTCTGATGTCCACAGCTGGAAAACACAGTATTTGGTTTTATTGTGTGTACAGCACCGTATGATCTAGCCAAACAACTTTTTAAGTGATAAGACGTCAGCATCATCATTTCAGGGGTTTAACTCCTTTCTCTTCTTTTGTGTGATGGAGAGGACCAATTGCAAGATTGGTGGAAATGCCCCAAAAGAAAGAAAATGTACTCCCAAGGCCCAAGTCAGCTGCAGGAGTGAGCGTCAAAAAATGTCCCAGCGCGGTTTTGCTTGGGGAAGATCTGTGGGCCATCACGGTGGGAGAAGAGTTGCCTGGTGCTCGCGTCTAGTTCAGGAGCAGGGGTGACAGAGGAGGTAGGAAGGCAGCCAGAAAATTGGTCCCACCGAGGTGCTAGGATCAAAGGCTGCTTATCCAAAGCTGGCAACCCACCTGCTGCATCCCAGAGGGGCCAAGCTGGACTAGCATAGCCATGAAAGGGATTCAGAGGTTTGAGCACTATGTAGCAGAGCAACCAGAAGTAAACCTGGTCTCCACCATCTCTCCCAGTTCACAGGAGAGGCGTCTTCCTAATCTCAGCCAGGGCTCGTGCTGACTTTGACCCCTGATCCCAGCAGCTCTGTGCCCTCCAGCCCTTTGCGGGGCTCACAGGCGGTGGACAAGAGATTACCACCGCAGAGTCTTAAGTCAGAAGGGCCGATTTACTTCAGCCTCCCTTCTGCAAAACCTGCGTGGACAAGTTTTAAGTTGGGGGTGGACTAGAGTCTGTGGTCGACGTTCATAGCCTTAGCTGTATCATGGAGCAATTAGGAAGGAATGGAGGAAATCTTCCTGCTTGCATTCTTGAATTCCTTTCGATGTGGGATGTGTATTTCTGTGTGCTAACCATTCTGATCAGAAATGGAACATTTCCGGTATGGTTTGTATTTCTCTCTGACTTCTAGCCTCAGATGAATAGTGAATTAAAAATGTATTGAATGCCCTTCCCGTGAATGGAACTGCAGCTGCCCAGAAAGAAGGCTTTATAGTACGTGGATCGTTCTCCAAGTTCTGCCCCACCTTCTTCCTCTCCTGCACTGGTCTGCCCAGGTGACTCAAGGCACAGATGGATTAATTTTTTGTGAAATAGAAGGAATAGCAGATACGGTGAGGCTCGTTTTATCCCCTCCAGGGGTCTAAAACAAATCAGTGCATCTCTTCCGCCCGAGCCCTGCTGACTGACGGTATTGTTGGAGATGCGGGAGGGGTGACGAGGAGAGGAATGTGCAGCTGTGCAGGGCTGTAAAGCGTATGGGCCAAAGCACTGTGGGTGGAACGATAGGGAGACACTGAAGAGGCGATGAAAGAAGAGAAGTCAGCGTGCGGATGGCCATCAGAGGAGTGGTGTGCCTGTTCTAAGCAGATGGGGACCCGTGCGAGATCTTGACCATCTCCTGTTGCAGGTAGCTGAGACGCAGGAAGTCTTTGATGGCATTCGTTCTGAGTCCTGATGTCAAGGCTTCTGTCCATAACAGGTGAAGGACACTAAGGATAGAGTCACTTGCTAATCATTTCTGCGGAGGTTGTGTCTGAAAAAAGCATTTCAGGGCCATTGCCTTCAGTTTCATCTGTGACTCTCTAAGAACAAAAGAGCTTATATAAGAAGACAAGAGGGAATATCGAGCATGTTGTCGAAATGAAGGAGAACAAAGGCGCTAAGCTGAAATGCAGCACACTTTATACTCTCTCAGCCACAGTCATGATGGAAATGTTCCTGAGGTGCTACTAGTTCACCTTAAGATGTTAAGATGCTGAGACCCAACCTTTTTCAGTAGCAAAATCTTAAAGGTTTCAGTAGGCTTCCGGAGACTTGAATTGTCGCCCCAATACTTCCCCCGCATGGCTGGGTTGTCTGTATTTCCTTGAATAAGCCATATATAAACCCAGCCCCTTAATCTCTCTTTGATTCGCAGCCAGAAATGCCCAACGTAAAATCTGCCTTAACTAGGCCACGTGCTGACTTGTTGCTGAGTTCAGAGTAATCAAAAGAACATTCTTCTCCTGTTCCAAGTGTAAATATAATAGGAAATATTTGTATTGGCCGGGAGAAGGAAACTCTTTGAAGTGCTAGTGTCTTAATTTCCTTTCACTGTTTTTATTTCTTCATTAAACAAATGGTGAGTTTTGCAACCTTCACCCTTGGGAACAATAATAAAATGTTCAGAATGTTAAGTGAGTAAAATTAAATTATGCATGGATTTTTTTAGTACTTGAATTAGTCAAATATTAATCCATCATCGGGAATAGAAACTCACAGAAATATTTATGACAGGTATGTAATTCTGCCCTTCAGTAGTTGTATAGATTTGCAATGCTGCATAGGATATAAGAGCTTTCAACATATTTTTCTGCTCTGACATCATGTTCTTTGTTCTTTAACCTATATTCTCTCTCATTTTGATATAATCATTTTATAAACCAATTATGCTATCTTGAAGCGAAAGTGATATCCTTCTGAGTATGTTTTTCTCTAAGGAAGATGTTGCTCACTGCATATTCAGGAGCTGACTCATTTTCTCCAACTGGCTCCAGAGATGTGGACTTTAAGTCCAAGAAGGCCCAGCCAACCTACACCTTGCTGAAAATTCTGAGAGATGAACTTTCTGTGTCTACCATAAAAGAAAAATTTTAAACAGGACCACTAGGGATGTGTGATTCCTGTTGTGCACCTCACTGGTCGTGTCCCGTCCTTGTCAGCGATGGTTAATTTACTGGCCTTTGGGAACTGGATTGCCGTCCATCATCCTCCATTCCTTGCAAATACATTTTCTACAAGATGAGAAAAAGTGAATATTAAACAAGAATTGGGTGCCAATGATCCACTTTTTCATAGAGTTGGAGCAAAGTAAAGTAATAAACCTTCTTTCAGCACAGAAAAACACAGTTGTATAGCAGTAACTTGAGACCTATTATAACTAGCATTAGCTATTCAATCAGTCCTTGGAATTGCAGAATCTCAAGCTTGTGTTGCATGCAGGTTTTCTCTGAAAGGGGACCCAGATACTCCCACCCCCCAACATATTATGAGAATTCCTCTGAGGGGAGTCCAGTTTCCTTACACAACATGCATATCACCCTTCCTTGCTTTTGAATTCTGTAGCAAAATTAATAGGCAAAATGTACTTGCTCTGCCTTATTTAGCGGGTGGGCTTTCGTGGGGTTCTACATTTTAAATTCTTCTGTAGATCTTGAGGACTTCGAGACTTCCCCTCCGTTTTGCTGTGCTTTGGATGTAAGAGCGCTCAGAGCATCTGGAACTCCCTGCTTTAAAGTATCATATTCTTTGAATATTATGGTCTACATTAATTGCGTGCTGATGGACTCTGGCAGTCAGTTTTGTTTTGCAGTTACTGCTCTGTATTAGTTATGATAAACTATTAATCTAGGGTTTACTTTTTGTTTGTGTATGTGTGTATTTCTTGCAGACAAGAAGAGACTGACAGAAGAGTAAAAAATGTAAGATATATATATTTTTCTTTCTTTCCACTGTTAGTTTGGTTCACCTATTTGTAGATTAAAGAAGAAACATAGGCTTGACACTTTAGCCTAGTTTATTTTTGTTAAGCAGTAAGTCCAGGGTCAGCACAGGAATATGGGCTGGTTGCCTGTGATGGGTTCAGTAACTTTTATGTTTCCTGCCGTAAAGTAAATGTTACAATAGGCTTAGTCTTACGTACAAGTAACTAGCAAGCTTTTGTTGTGAGGAGCAGTGGTGGAGGACCAGGACAGGTAGGGATTTTGTGTTTAGTTTTCCTCTTTCCCAGGTGAGTTTCCAGGATTTATTTCACCTGGAAGAAGGGAGAACCGGGGAAGCGTTAAGCGCCTGGTCTCACCTGCTGCATCTCCTGCCTGCCTGTCACTTCGCGCATGCTACCTGGGCGCGGGGAGGCCCTAAGGGAGAAGTTGGGGGCTCAGAAACTCCCTTCACTGCACAACAGATTCTGTTACAGAAGCATGCCTACGTGTGTTGAAGGATATTCTCTGGCTTGGTTTCTGAATGATGCTCATGTGACCAGGGGATGACCATAAAATATCATGGGTGTTGATAGAAGTCACCACCAACAAAATTAGCTAATATCGGCTAAGGACTGTGGGGTGAATGCTCATAAATTGGAACAGAAATGTTAATTTTAGCCATCAGTCTGAAGAAAGCCTTTAACAAGAGAGCCACATTGAAAGCCGGGATAGTGTAGTAATTAAGGTGTGAGAAAAAATTGGAGAGATCTAGGTTCAGGCTCACCTCAACCTTGGAATCTCCCTGGGTGAGTTTCTCTCTGGTTATTGTGTTAATTGTGGGGAGAACTGAGAATAGGGAGCCACTTGAGTTCCCAAAGGATATAAATCTAACAACTAATTAAATAAACAACTAGGAAGTTGTAAGACATTGTGCACTCTACATAGAGCTGTCCTTGAAGACCCTTCAGAAGTTCTGAATGCAGCCATGACATTCTTCCATTCGACAGCCCTACTTCAGGATCCACACTGGTTAACCGTTCTCTTCCAGATACAATTGCCTTTAAAGCCTTTCAAGGCTTGGACCTAGATATCATCGAGACATGCCTCTCCTAGGGTTTCCCCACGCAGTAAGCTCTGGCGGTTTGGGTTCTTTCTGGATCCCTTCTCTTGAGGAGGGTCATCTTCAGGGGCCCCAGAGATGAGCCTTTTTTTGGAACAATGCATACCGACCCCCCAAAATTACTCAGCTCAGTTTTAGGATGACCGTTAAAACATGGCTTTTCCAGGGACCCTTGTGGGTAGATAGGATGCTTCTGAGTAGACCTCTCTTGTTACAGGCTTTAGCCCAGCATGATTGTATTTCTGATGTAATTATATCCTGATCTTTGGTTTGCTTTTAACCTTCTTACATAAGTTGTTTAGGGCCCTGTGGATATGGAGCATCATCAGAGCTTTAGGAAATAAATAGACCAGTCAGCCCAGTGGAAAAGAGGAGCAGCGAGCTGTAGGTGAAGCAGCGCGATGAAATGTCTGCCTTCTCAGCTCACCTTTTTAGGACAGAGTTTATTTCTGGTGCAGTCTTTTTGGGGTGCCCCTTTGATTTTTTGAGGTTGCTGCCCGTTTCCTAAAGGCCCCTTTATCTGCAGGGTTGGACATGCAGAGCCCTTGCTGATGCAAAAGCCAGAGCATCCAGCACTCCAGCTGGAAGGGGGCTCTGGGTATCGCGGAGGTATTTGCAGAAAGTGGCAGCTGATGCACTGATAGTAAACCGAGGCAAGCAGATTGAGAGGCCACAGTGGCTCAGAACTTGGAGATCCACGGAAGGAAGGCTTCTGTGGGCCCAAGGAGGTCCAAACCCAGCTCTGGATGCAGCCCCCCCATCACATCTCTTAGTCAGCTTTCTACGATAGGTATGCTCGAATTGAGAAAAACGGCTCCTGGAGCCTCATTTGATCATTCTAACTGTTCTCTATAATTCTGTCGTTTTAAGGTTTTGATTACCTTATACTGGCTGGGCAGGAAAGCAGCCAGCAGCCCTTCCTATAATGGCCCCCACCTGGATTTGAAAGCCTTTGAGAAATTGCTTGGACAAGCTTTGACAAAGGTAAAGCATTGGTGGAAGGATCGTTTTAGAAAAGTCGAACATCACAGGTATCTCCACGTGTCTCATAGTACCTTGTTCAGCATCTGCCTTGATCAGCAAACCTTTTTCAAGACAGCAGAGGGGTCAGACTGGCAGTTCTCCAAATGGATACTCAGCAGTGTTTGTAGGAAACCGTTTCTGATGACTTTCACTCTTGATTCCAAAGGGAGACATTCCAACAGGGTACCTCGGTTTGGCCTTGTGATCACTGGCACTCTTCTCTGCTCATTGTTTACAGATGAAGAAGGCCCCCAGATCCTCCTGCCGGGGCCCCTGGAGCCTCAAGGATCTTTGAAGGAGAGATCAGTCATCTGAAGTCAGAGATCTGGCAACTTTAATGCCTTTCTGTCCCAGTGAAAATACGTGGCTCTTCCTTGGTTGCTGTTGTTTCCCCCAGTTGTTTCTTGCTTGGATCTCATTTTAAATTCCTCATTTCAAACTGTGGCTTAAAACAATAGCCAAGACTTTAAGAGGCTTCGATAGGAGCCCTTTTCTGCCATCTGCAGCAACAGCAACGAGAAGAGGTTTCTGTCTCTGAAGCTTACGGGGTTCCTACTGAACTTCAACTGCTGGAAGAGAGGTTCCACTTTTTTGCAAAACTAAAAAACCTTTTTTTCCCCCCTCCAGGCCCTTGGGGAATCCTGCAGCCCCAAGCAAAGTGGAAGAGACAGTGGCTACGGCGACATTTGGTGCGTTGAACGCATCGATCCGCTTTCGTTGTCCGCCAGCCATAAGCGGGACGATTCCTTAGACAGCTTAGACTCCCTTGGCTCAAGGTCTTCCACCAGCTTCTCGTCGGACCTGACTCTGAAAGGCGGCAGTGAAGGTAAATCCTGGGGCGTCTGGTTAATCTTCCTTGAGAGGAAAGACCTTGGAAACAAGTCCAATGTTGTCTCGTGCTGCTGTGTTCACTTTAATGTGTTATTTTTCTCAGCTTGACCTTTAGATTTTTGATTGGGTTGCCTGATGGCACAGAACATTCTTAATGATGGGCAACTGACTGAAAAAAAAAATAATAACCATGCATCTTAAACTATCTATCTATTTAAAACATTTGCAAACTGCTTCTCATTAAAGTAAAACAGTCTCAAAGCAATTTACAGTAATCTCCAAGCTGTTAATTTCAAACAGTGCTTAAAATGATTGATAAAAACGTACATTAAAGCATTGTACAAGATATACAATGATCAATAAAATAAACAATGCAAGAGAATAAAAACAGCAATAAATTTTTAAAATACCCTAGCAGCATTAACAAAATATTAAAACGCCTAAAAGAGAGATAAAACCTGGTGCCCAAAAGGCAGGAAGGGCCTTGCTGGGGGCTTGCCCGTCAGGGCTGGCACAGAAAAGGTCGGCTCAGCCTCTGAAAGGCCCCCCGCCCTGCAGAGAGGATCGATGAGTGGAATTGAGTGGAATTTCTCTTTCCGCTCAGAGAGACTCTTGGCAGTTTACAATATAGCCACCAAAATATAGCTAGCATGCCCATGGTAATACCACCCTGGTTATTTTTCATTTGCTAATTTTCGTTCCAATCTTTCTAATTTTAAAGCTTTTTAACGCTGTTTCCAAGAAAGTTGCCCACCTGTATTTCAACAGGTGTTAATTGTCTTGGCATTTTAGTGTAAAGAAATGCTAATGTTTCCTAATATTTTCACTGAACAAAAATTCACATTCTATTTTAAAATACAAAACGTATACAAAGAAAGGAAAACATTTTGAATTTTCTTTCTGCATGAACTGACGTATTAACATTTCTATGATGTTGTCACTTCCAGTAGGAATAAATTCATTCTAAGGAGCATGCTAAATAATAACGGGCTTCAGTTTTGAAAAATGTAATAATCTCTTTTGCATCAGTCATTAAAACATTTATGGTTCAATATCGGATAAGATGTTGGCAATTTATTTTGGTGCCAGAAGATACATAGATACCGCCTCATCGCACTCTTTCGTTTGGAGTAAGGAACGTTATGCAAAATACAGAAAGGGACTAGCAAACAGTAATCAGAAGAAGTCAGAGGCTTGAGATAAGAACAAAATATATAGCTAAATCTAGTTTATAACAACACTATTTACTAGACATTTCCACACCTTATTTTTAACGTTTATTTCTGCAAACTCTCCTTGCTTCCGCCCCTTCCTTCCGTGGCTTCATCCGTTGCCTTTTGCTCTTTTAAGTTATCATCTCTCTCTTCTAGGGATTTCATCCAATCACAACTTTCTCGGTCTTCCTCCCCACCCATTCATTCTTCTTTTGTGTATTTGTTTCGATCCTTGTTCATTCTCTTTTGCATGTTAATATCTTTCCTGCTGAAGAGCAAAAATCCAGTTTGCAGAGCAAGAGAGGTGGCAGAAAGCCACACGGCACTATCCAAATTTTGTTCATTGTCAGCTTTTGCTCATGCCTTCGGATGAGGGTTCATTTCAGCTCCACTCTTCATATTTCACAACTATCCCTATGCAGATCTCTAACAATACTAATTCCGACATTACCTCACTTCAGTTTCACCCCAGTTGATTTCATCACTGTTCCTTTCAGTCCCATTCACTCTGTGGGAAATTCTTTCACCCACTTCCAAACCAAGCTTTTATTTCTATCAAAATCCCTTGATTTTGCAATGGAAAATTTCAATTGAAAAAAGTGGGCTCCAGTTCAGGATTAGAGTTTATTTTTAATTCATACTGACAATGCAAATTCTAGAGAGGGATATCATTTGCAGAGTTGCACTGAGATTAACTCATCATTTTGTGGCTTTCTGGAATGAGAAATTTTGCGGATTCATGGAATATTTAGTGAATGTTACTGAAAGTGTACCAAGCAAGTTTTCATGTAATATCATGGCCTATGTCTAAAAAAAGCTTTTGGTCTGCCTATTTTCAACAAAAAACAATGAACAAATCAGTACTTGATTATCACTTTGTAGGTTCCCATTTCTGAAATTTTAACTAGAAATTTGTTTGTGTCTTATATATGTAAAAGATTGCGAAAGTGACACGGATTCCGAAATACGCACAAGAATGCATGACTCCGGCAAAGATGATATGTCCTACCGCCGAGTGGCCTTAATCGAACCCAAGCCTGCTTCAGAATTCAACCGCTTCCTACCCAGCAAAGCCAAGCCACCCACGTACATGCCGGCGCCCTTGAGAAAGAAGAGAATCGAGAAGAACGAAGATAATAGGAGAAGCTGGGCAAGTCCTGTGTTTACTGAATCAGATGGAAATTTTTCAAGGTATTGTTGTGATGCTCCAATATCTTAAATGCTCTCATTATAGCAAAGGCTGAGGAAATGCTGTCTGTAGGACCCAAATGCACCATCTCCTCTTCTGATGCAAATTTCTTTTCCTGCTGTTTCCCTTGGCCATAATTTAGCATTTCATCTTCATGAACGGTAAGCCTTAATTTGAAGCTTTAGCTTTGAGGGCAAATCGTGATTAACCGTGTTGCAGATGGGATGCTTTGCCAGACCAAAACAAACAGGAAAGTTAGAAGCCTCCATGGGGAAGCAGAAGGGAAAGATCTTTCCACTTGCTAGTTATGGTTATGTCGGCACCTTTAACAGCCAAGAACGTAAGGGTTCAGTTGATCAGGCCAGTGGATGCCAGATGCCTCCTGGCTCACCAGCTGGACCGGAGGACAGCAGCCCCACTCCCTCTGATTCCCTTGCAGCTGCTAGTTGTTCAGATTCCAGTAAAGACCATTGAGGCAACCTTGCAGTGATGAGGTCCAACCTTCTTCTAGAACAATGCTGTTAGGAGTTGTCACCAATTCTGCCGTTTAACTGTGTAAATTAAAATTAAATTAAGTACACCTTTTGGAAGAGCCGCTTAGATTAATTTGGGAACTCAGAAAGATGTTCTGGACCATGTTAGATTCTATTTAAAGCTTACTAGGATTATGAATTATGATCACCCATTACACATCTTTTGTTATTGTGAAATTTGTAACTTTGGTTTCTGTCTCTTTAATAGGGTTATTGAGAGTAAAGCTTCTGCTCATTGGTTGGAACCTAAAATAAGATATAATTCAAATTCTGGCTCCTTCTTTACCCACCACCCCACAAGCTATTCTCCAAGAGGGTATAAAATGTAGGGTGGGACTCCAGGAGCATCTCCCTGTGTCTGTCTTCTGAAATTCATAGGGACCAGTTGCACGTGACTGCAAGTGTTTGTTTACTTTGGTTTTCTATTTCACACTATTCTAGTGTATGTTGTGAACATAGCAAGGGTATTAATTATATTCTGAGGCTTTTATTCTTGGTCTACCTTGGGCTGTTCCCTCCAGAGTATCAGACAGTGGCATTGCACAGCCACAGGTGATCCGTTGGCGTGGCGGTAGCTCCTGTTGGGGAGAGGACAGTGGGAATGCCTCAGGTGTTTGTGGATGTCTTGGCAAAATGTAAAGAGAAGCTTCTGCCACCCTTTTGATACCCACCAGAACAAGACTTTGCTCTTCAGGATCATTGTCCAACTGACCCATTTATCAGCTGCGGCCAGAGATCCAGCCCTCTAGGTCAAAATAATTCATTCCTGAAAAGCTTTATAAATAATATTTTCAAAAGCCAGAGTGTTTGGAAATCTCTTTAAAATACGTCTTCTTCCATCAGTAGTTTTTTATCATGATTCACATAATTTTATTCTCTTAGAAGGGCTACATGTATTCAACATTTTTGTACACGTTTATTACAGCAATTTTGTACTGGAAATTCATTTCGCTTCATTCACAAGTCAGTAATTTTAAGACAAAGTGCAGTATAGTCTTCTGTATTCAATAGCCAATTTTTCTGTTTGTTTTTGAAAATACAACTTCACTGGATGTTTTGTGCAGCGACCGCAGAAGAGTTTTTGGGCACGAGATGGAACGCAAGTCAGCAGCTAACGTTCTTTCAGACTTCTCCACCTGTTTGGAGGAGGAGGAGGAAGAAGAGGAGGAGAAGTCCACGGGCATCCCCGACATTGAAGCAGATGACCTTTACGCCCGCAAAATAAGTGCTGCGGTATCAGCTGTAAAAGTTTCCTCTCATAAATTTCTTCCTCAGTCTTGGGTTCCAGGTGGAGAATTGCACTGGAAAAAAGCAAAGAGGATATCTTTTTCCAAACAGTGGTATAAGGAAATCCAGGGATTCAGGTTTGTCATCTTGCATGTTCTTTTTCCATCCCACCAGATTTTTAGAAAACACATTTTAGCTCATTGGAATCAATAGCCTGTTTCCACAGCGGCAGGGAACACAGGAGTGCACTCCTGCTTGTTGCAGCCGAAATGTGGATAGCCTTTCTGTTCGGCTTTGCTGTACTGCCTCTGTGTGTACTGATGTTGTTGACTGAAATAGATGGCTGCCCCTTCGCTTTGTGTCGGGACTCATCTCCTTGCCTTTTTTCCCTTCTCCTGGCATGGGATCCTGTACAGTAACATGGTGGATTCTGAAGAGGAGGGCGCAAGAGTCCAGCCGAGTCATAGCATCACGGACCACCCGGGTGTCAGTTGCACAGAAGACTCTCGGTCCGTCAGGCAAACGGCTGAAAACGCTGCAGGAGGGAAACACAGCCGTTCCTCTGACCTGCCAAGGTTCCTACAATTGCATGAGCCAGCCTAGCTGATGTGTCAAGGCATTGGTGGTTTGCTAAAAGGGAACATGAAATATTAATATGGAGGCTGCCTTTTTAATGCGCTCTGTATGCCTTAGCATTCTGAATGCGTACTGCTAGAGTCGTCTGGATTTTTGTATGTGTGCCGGCCCCTCCTCTGACGCCTTTCGTAATGGCTGGCCTGCTTTGCTCTTGCCCTAAAGTGGAAGTCTTGTCCTTCTAAAGAACGGGGTGCCCAGGCCAGCCCTGCTTCCCTGTGTCTGTCCGTGCACCCTTCCCATTCCAGCGTGTGCATCTTTTGGTCTTCCTTTTAGTTGAGTGCTCGTTGAGTTGGCAAACCTCTCTCTGGGTTGTATCACTTCAGCAGCTGAAGGCCTCTTTTGATGGAATGTCCCTTGATAAACATTTTAAAGCCTCCAGATATGATAGCAATAGGAGAGGGGAAAGAGTTCTAATCTTTTCCTCTCTTTCCTGTGACAGTTTCTGATGTGGACAGATTTTCTCTGTGTGCAGAATCCTTCATTCACTTGCAGAAATGACAGAGCCCAGAGTTCATAAGTTCATCCCTTTGCTAAGATTGTGGTCTCTGTTGCCTACAGCATATTGCAAATCTAATGTTTATATGTATCTTTTATATCTCAGTCAGTTTTTATTTCTTCGAGCACTGCAAAAATATTCTGAGGACTACCTGTCTTCTGGTAATAGAACCAAAGCTGACCCATCTTTAGGGCCTAGGCTCATAGCATGCAGAAACTATAATTATCTTAGGCCTGGGTATGACCAAAGAATCAATGAGAATAGAGACTTTTATCCAGATTTGGAAAATGATGATTTGTTTGTCCGTAAGACTGGTGCCTCCCACGTGAATCCAGTCATTCTCCAAGATTTTGAGTATTTTAGAAGGTCTTCTCAACAAAGCCATCGCATAGAAGGAGAAATTGTTCTCCAGCCCAGAGATGGGGAAGATGAAATAATTCCAGATTTAGAAAAAGATGATCTGACTGTTCGCAAAGTTCAACTACAGAAGAAAGAAGTGCCTTTATCTGGTGCCCCTGACAAATACCAAGCTGCTCTCTTTCCGGACCCTTGGAGTCTGCCCCCAGAAATCCAGGCCAAATTTCTATGCTTGCTTGAAAAGTCCACCATAAAGAGCGAGTGTGAAAGCGGTGGAAAAATCTTACCTCCTTCTTCGTGGCAAAAGAAGGATGATATGCTAGCCCGAAAAATTGAGCTGTTCGGCATAGGTGGGAATGTGCAACATAAGAGCTTCTCTCCAGGAGTGTGTAGCAAAGAAGATATGCAAAAATGGGAAGCCATCAGAGAGGCCAGCAGAATCAGGCATAAGAAACGGCAAATGGTTGAAAGGTCAGCTCACGGCTGTGCATGGATCGTGCTTGTATCTGAGTATTTAGAAATAGTGCTTAGTAAAGAAATGTGGCATTTGGTTTTCAACAAAGCATGTCTTGGTGTGACATCTAAGCCTGTGGTGTTCATGTTTGCCCCCATAAGATCTGGTGTTGATCATTAAACTCATCAACAGCTCACGATCCATCCGTCAGAGGTTAAGAACGATTTACATAGTGGCCTAAAAGATGGCATTGATGGTATTGGGCCAAGAATACCTGTTTCTGTTCTTAACAAGAGGCTGGTGCTCCACAGTATGTGATTGTTCTTGAAAACATGTATATTTGAAGTCTGTAGTTGAATAAACATAAGCCGATGCATATCATCACTTTGACAGCCCTTTCCAAAAGTTCTTATGTAAATATAAAACTCTTTAATATAGTGTTGAATCTCATCTCATTCCTGCAGATGAGACAGAAGGAAGATCCACGAACTCCTTTTCCAATTGTAATCCCCCCCCCCCCCCCCCCCCC